ACAGAGGAGGCCTGGAGCACTGAGCTTGACCTACCATGACATGCTCAGAAAGCCAAGACTGAGAAGGCAGTCGGGGAGCAAGGGGCTCTCGCTCCTACCGGCCTGGCTCTCTGCAGCACCCATGGGCTCTGAGAGAAGGAGGCGCTGGGTGTCCCCAGTCCTTGCATAACACCCCGATACCAGCCAGGCACTGCTCATCATCCCAACTACAGTGGCCTGTGGTGCTTAGCTCTTGGGACAGACCAGGCCATGCACAAGCCTCAGCTGGGCTGCATCCACTCTGGTCTCCTGGTCCTGCCTGAACTGTGCTGTGTGGTAAAAGTGCTCTACTAAGTACCCTTTATACTAAGAGTAATAAATCAAGGGTGAACACTTAAATCTATAGGGTAACCATTGAATGAATGGGGAAAGCACTTGTAACTAACTATACACACCACCTGAAGATACTGCAGAGCCAAGAACAAAAAAATAGAACCTGGAAAAAATATAACATTTGGAAATAGAAAACAGTACAGGATGAATTTCATATTTGTATGGGTTTGAACCTGAAGTCAAGCCCCAGTTAAATTTCCAATAGGTTTAACTGCTTCCAACTTGAGTAATCAGAGTTCAGGGTCACTGTAGCTGACATAAAGTAAGTATGCCAAATAGCCCACCTCAGACTAAAAGAAACTTGAGCTATTTCCAACCATGTGGAGGATGGAAGTTCAGCCAAATTAATTCCCTTCTTTAAATATTATTATTTGTAGTAGTGCAACATTATCCAGAGTTTCTACAACATATCATTCACAATGTCTAGCATACTAACCAAAATTAATTGATATATGAAACAGCCAAAATGTTACCCTAACTAAAGATTATTTAATGAAGAGAGATTTAATCAAGATAGCCCATATGGTGGAGTTAGCAGGAGAGGGTTTTAAGGAAACTATTAAAATTATATTCAAGGATATAAAGAAAATATACTTGTAATGAATGAAAAGATAGGAACTATCAAAAGAGAAATAGAAACAACAAAAAAAAAACAGTAAAAATTCTATGACTGAAAAAAGAAAGCATCTGAAATTAACTCACTGGATGGGCTTAACAGAGGACTGGAAGTAACAAGAGAAAGAACCAGTGAGCCTGAAGCAGGGTCAGTAAAATTCACCCTGAAGAAAAGAAGAAAGATGGAGGGAAAAAAAAGAACAGAGCTTTGGTGATCTATGAAAATAGCAGTCTAATGTTTACAAGATATGATTGAAAAATCAGATGAATGTTTAATTTTAAACATCTATTATGGTAAAAGACACAGTGCCATAAATTCCTCCTAAAATCCTCCCCTTCACTTTGAACTCACTTGCCCCATCATTTCTTCCACTTTCTGAAGCAGTTCTGGAAGTCCTGTCTTTGGAATGTTCTTAGTTGCATAGTTGTGGCTGCCTTGATGTCCAGAATTGATTCAAAACTTTTACCTTTCATGGGTAATTTGATTTGTGGGAAGAGCCAGAGGTCACAGGGTGCCAGCTCCAGTGGAAAATGTGGGTGAAGACACATCATACTATTTTTAATTAACATACATTGCAATAAACATTTGAATTGATTCAGGGTACCAAGGCAGCTATGAAAAGACATTCACAAAAGAGGACTCCAGAACTGCTTCAGAAAATAGCAAGAACGATGGGATGAGGGTATTTGAAGCACGAGGAGTATTTTGAGGGGAAATGACGGCAATACAGTGGTGCCTCAGCTCAAGGACTTCATTCATCCCACGATACTGGTCACAGAATTCTTTCTATGATTGCAATGAATTCTGAGACCAGAATTATGGAAAGAATTTTTTGAACCAAGGTACCACTGTTTGTCTTTTGCTGTAATAATTTTTTAAAATTTAAATTTACTGTTTTTTAATCACACTACATGTAGTTCAAGTGCTAGAGGGAAAGGAAGGGGAACAGAAAAAAATACTTGAAGAAACGGACAGTGGCCAAATAGTCCCAATTTTGTTGTTAGACACAAATTTACACATTCAAGAAACTCAGCAAACATTACCAAAGGAAACTCAGATACTGAAACATAGTCAAACTTCTGAAAAACAAAAACAAAGAGAAATATTTTGAAACAGCTAGAGAAAATGAATAACGAAGTAACACAAATCTGAATGCTTCCTAACTTTTTATTAGAAATTACAGAGTACAGAAGAGTAAACTAACATCTTGAAGGTGATAAAAGAAAAAAAAAAACTGTCCAGTAGAAACATCCTGTAATGTGACTAAAGGAACTTATTGCTAGCAGACCTCATTATTAAAAAAGAAAACTATTCAAGCCAAGGGGACGTTATGCAAAAGGAAGCTTATATCTTCAAGAAGGAAAAAAAGAGTATCAAAAATGGTAAGTTTGTAGGTAAACATGAATAATTTTTTCTCTTAATTTCTTCTAAATATATATGCCTGCATAAACAAAAATTGTAGAATCATTTGTAAGTTTATAACTTTGATCATAGGCTTCTAAACTGGCTAGCCTGAATGTCACTGAGTGAAAAGGAATTGTTTTAGGCCTTATGTGTAATACAATTAATGTATATAAATAATACACTTCCATTGTTTTTATAGTTTGTGATATGACATTTTCCAAAAGCAGGAGTTGGCATGTGTGGCCCAGCGCAGGAAGTGGAATCACCACCATGCTGTGTCCCCTACACAGCGTCTGGTGTCGCCTGCACCATCCACCCCGGAGCACCTTGAAACCAAGTCACGAAAAAACATTGCTAACTATCACATCATAATGTTAAAAGTTTGTGGCCTTGTGGGACCACCGTGCTAGGTATCGCGAACCACGTGCAGCCCACAGGCCACAGGTTAGACACACCTGGTGTAAGAGCTACGGTAACCCATGAGCACAGTGGCACAAGGTGGGGGGGGGCTGCGTAGCTGTGAAGTTTTTACATTTTACACAGAATGGCACAGCATTGATTTAACACACTGGGGAAGGTTAAGGATGGATGGACAGATAGATGATAGATGGGTAGGTAGATAAATTTTTACAAGCGCTATAACTAATAAGTCACTATATCAACCTCAATGTAGTACTAAAACTTATTCAATTAAACTCTGCATTCTCAATCTGAGTAATATTGCACCAAAGGTGTTGAAACTGGTTTTTTGTAGTAAAATGACCTTTACTTTTTTATGTACAAAGCACAGATTTTAAAGCGTACATAAACAAATACACAGTGTGCTTGTGATGTTAAACTTCAGGGAGATGTGACTGGGGGGAGACGTCCAAATAGCTCACTAGGAGAGGGAATAAGACAATAATGGGGATAAAAGGCTGAGAAATGTTAAATTAAATCAAAGGAAAGCAGGAAGGCAGCCACAGGGCCAAAGAACAGATGAGGAAAACAGAAAACAAGTCATGCGTTGCTTAACAACGGGGATGTGTTCTAAGAAATGCGTGGTCAGGACACTTCTCAGAATATGTCACTATGTGACTTCGCTGTGTTTGAACACCCAGTGTATACATACACAAACTAAAAGGGCCATGGCATCACTAGGCAACGCAATCTCACAGACCAACGCAGTGCGTGTGTGACACGCAACTGTATGCAAAGAGTAGACCTAAACCCAAACATATCAATATTATAGTTAAGATCAACGGACAAACAATGCTCAGAGGCTGAATTCCCTACAGGGTGACATGAAGTGGACAGAGTCTGAGCTTTGGAGTAGGGCAGGAGTATATTCGAGTCCCAGCTTCACTGTCTGTTTCCTTGAATGTACAGTGGGGATTTGCTTCTACTTCCCTTGCAGAGTTAAATGATGTCCTATGTGGAATGTGTTCAGTATATTCCTGGTGTCCAGGAAGTACTCAGTAAAGGCCAACTCCTTCTCTTATAATTTACCATGACAACAGAGGAGACAGAGGGCAATTTCTCTAGCGCTCACCGGCATAGCAAAGCTGGGCTCATCCAAAACGGGTTGGCCTGGGCATGGCGGCACATGCCTGTGGTCTCAGTAAGTGGAAGGCTGAGGCAGGAGGATCTCATGAGGTCGAGGCCTGGGCTACACAGTGAGTTCAAGACTAGCCTAAACTACATAATGAGACCCTGTCTCAAAAAACAAAACCAAGAAAAAAATAACGGGCTGGCAGACCAAATCTAAACAGGCACTTATTTTCACAGAGTAGCTTTACTGGAACACAACTACACCCGTCATTTCTGGATTGTACAGCTACTTTTTCCTTGCAACAGAGTACGGACTGGTCCGTACAGCTTAAAGTAGTCACTCTCTGATCCTTTATAGAAAAAGTTTGTTCATCTTTGATCTAGAACACGACTAGGGAATTTTACTTCCAAAATTCCTACATAGTGTTGGTTTCTTTTGGTTTGGTTTGGTTTGATTTTTTAAGACAGGATCTCCTCATGTAGTTCAGGCTGCCCTTGAATTCACTATGTTCCCAGGCTGGCCTCAAACTCATGGAGATCCTCCTGCCTCAGCCTCCTAAGTGCTGAGATTACAGGCTTGCGCCATCATGCCTGGCTAGATTTTATTTTTGAGGTATCTCATACCAACTTTTTTGCTTTAATACTTATAATTCATTTAATTAGCATTAAATAAATTGCCTTATAACAAGAAAGTATTGAGAATTACTTAGATGTCCATTTAATGAAAATTACAATCCACGCTTGCTATCTGATACCTATCTCTGAGGTCTCTGCCTTTCTTTACAAACTTTTATTGTGATATCTCTAAAAATCACACTGGAAGAATTGTCCAGCATCCACCATCTTGCTCCACTGTTAAAAAGCATAGACCCGAGTTCGATCCCCAGTACCAAAAAAAAAGCATAGCCACTGGGGCCCGGGATTTAGCTCAGTGGTCCCACAACCTGCCTTGCAAGTGCAAGGTCCTGAGTTTGATCCCCGATACCAAAAAAAAAAAAAAAAAAAGCATAGTCACTTGTATGTGTATTAACTTTAGCTCTCTCACATGCATGTCCTTATTATTCTATCCATTTTTCAGAAGAGAAAACTGAGGTTGAAAGAGATTCGGTCATCTGCCAACCAGAGGGACACCTCATCTGTGCAGTGAGCAGGTATGACTTTATGCAAATCGATCCCTGATGTGTCCACTCCTCAGGGAGTGTTAAGGCAGCCCAAACTCTCACTTTAATAAGGAACAAAAGTGTGTAGAAGCTTGTAGATATAAAGGCCCTAAAACATTTTAAAGGGAGGAATTGAGGCCTTTAGTTAAGTAATTAAAACTATTAGCTCTGGCTTTCATGCTCTAAAAATGTACAAAAGCAGGAAAGCATGCAGTACAAGCCTATTAAGTCAGCGCAATAAGCAGCTCTTGAATAGACCTCCCTTGTCCAGGAAAAACCCCTCGTGTGATGCTAGCACTCAGCAAATCCAACCAGCAATTCTAGGCCCCACCAGTGCCAGTCTCTGCCCTCAGATGGCGGCGGGGGTTAAAGTTGAACCTGATAGTAAACACACTTCTAAAATGCTGCAGCCCAGGAAGGAGATAGATCCACACTCACGCATGTACACATCCACCTAAGAAAGAAATCAGGAGGAAATTTGTAGCAAGTAGAGGTATAAAGGACATCTATTCTGGGAGTTCAAATGTTCTGTTCCAATTCTACCGGGGATGTCTGAGCAGTTGTCAAGGTTTGCCCGATAGGTTACCAGGGGATGCCCGATCGCCTGACTGAGGGTACAGCAGAGGACGAAAGAATAACAGACAAAGAACAAAGAATAAAGAATAAAGAATGAACAATAATTTATTACTTGGGGAGCCAGGATCTTGTCCTAGCTCTCTCCTCGCTACAACCACCATCCTCGGTCTTGTCAGTATTTATTGATTACACAACATAGCAGGGGACATAAAGGCAGATGTAAGGAATAGAGGGACTTAAGCCACTAATGAGGCAGGCTCTCAAAGGAAGGAATGATTGCATTTTTGCAAAGGACAGGTCACAGTTAACAAGCCACCTGTGTCACCTGCAGGTCGTAGTTAACAAGCTACCTGTGTTATCTTTAGTTAACGTTTGATCTAGGAGAGCATCAGCACAGAGTGGTAATTCCTCAGCTGTAGTCTTCTTGCCATTAGAGACATCACAGTATCATGGATCACGGAGATCTCAACTGTGACCATTGGCAGAGGGAATCCTGTCTCCATATGCCAGTCTAAGGCTCATTTGGCAAGTCACACGTAGGCCTTGGATTGACTCAGAATTTTAATCAATAGACAATTTATAAGCTAATTCGATAATATTTTAAAGCCTGCTCAGTGCAGTTTCAAGCTGGCCTCGCCTGACTTGGTTAAGACTCAAAGCGTTACCAAAGTGAAATTGGAGCTCAGCACTTTGCTAGGTGGGGCCGACATGCCCTGCAGATCTGCTCCCCACCTCCATCCACTCTGCCCTGTACCCTGGGTGCTGACCTTCCTGGCTTGCATCCTAGGGGTCCTATGACCCCTGACCAGGTGGGTTTGGGTAATGGGCGGCTTCGGTTTTCAGACAGGAGAGTGAGAAAAGAGGGAGGTGAGGTGTCCACTCCCCTGCCCCGGTGCTGCCGGGCTTTGGGTTCAAATTGTCTGGGTTTCTCAGCAAGGGGCACAGTTCCTGTGGGATGGCTCCTTCTCTCCAATAGGGAAAGAGCTCTTTGCTGTGACCCCTTGGACCTAGCTAGGGGTGGGAGAAACTCCGTGCTCTCCCTAGCCCCAGCATCCCCTGGCCTTTGTGATTTCTCCCAAACCTGCTGACCCATTTGAACTGATGCTCCCTTCTCAAATTCACCTCAATAACTCCATCAGAGCTGCTGTCAGCCTCCTGCTGGGATCCTAGGATACACCCCAGGGGAAACCTTCATAGTCATATAACCTACTGCTTAGGGATATGTACTCCGGAGTAAAGAACAAAACCAAACCTGTATCCCAGTCCCCTAGATATAGATCCCTGTGTGGTCTCAGGCTCCTTCTTTAACTTCTTAGAGCAGGCTCCACATCTGTATAAGATGGAGAGGAATACTCAGCTCTGGGTGGTTTAAGATCAAATGAGATAACATGTGGGAAAGGAGTGGAAACAGGGACAGGTTAATCTCCGCAACAGGCAGGTGTGAGCATCCATCAGCCCCACGCCTCCTTGGTGAGGACCAGGCTACCCAATGAAGGACCAGGCTACCCAATGAACGACCAGGAGGATGCCACCACAAACTCTGTGGCCCCTGGGATTCCGTAAGGCTCTCCAAACAGTAACAGAAAAGAGCCAGCTCACGTGAGATCCCAGATTCATCTTCTCAGCATCTCCCTCCTTCCTCCCACCCCGAGAGTCACAGCATGTGCCTCGTAAATGTGCGCAGAGGAAGCGGCCTGTCCTGAGAATGAAGCACAGAGCAGAGCAGGATGTGTCTGGGCAAAAGGATTGACTTCTCCTCCAGACTTCCAAGGGCAAGGTCACCAAAGCAAAAGAAGAGTCCAGAGCCTCCAAGAAGAGAGGACAACACTAGTCCTGTGGGCAGCTATAGGGACACGTGGCACGGCATGGTTTTAACTTGTCTCACATCTTCCTTTTGCTTTCCTTTCTGGCTGCTGAGTCTGGCTTTATTCAAACTATAAGTTAATTGCCAACATTCATGTATCTATTCATTAGTTCATCCATTTACTTTCATTGTCATTTGCTCTTCCATTTATCCTTCTAATCATTCATTCGTCGATCTGTTATTCAGTCATTCATTCACTAACTTATTCAAGGACTCACCCCTCCTTTCCTGTATTCGTTCCTCATCCAGCAACATAACATTCATTGAGTACCTTTTTGCTACCCTAGGTCAGACACAGTGAGGCTGAGTACATGGAAATGACATCGCTTGTACACACTGCTGAATCTCCATCACCTCTCCTACCAGGATGAGCAGGGCTTTGCCAGCATGCAAATAAACAACCCATGCAGAGAAAGCAGGGTTTTAAAATACAAGGCCGATCCTTTGCTCATGGCTTGCCTGAGCAAAGGAGAGATGCTTACTTTGGCTGGATGGGAGTCGAGGCCAGGGTTGAGGTGCAATGTGTGAATGCCAGGGCAGGAATCAACTTGATCCCAGGGGAACCAGATGGTCCATTAGTTTTTCACTAGGGCAATAGAATGCAAATTTTAAAAGATGACGTCTCTGCCCCTAAAGGAGAAACTAAGGCCAGGAGAACAGAGAGAAGGCTTGGGCTGAGTCGTGGTGATGGACGTAAAGAATATTTCTGGAATGCTTCTGGGTAAGTTTGACAAATTATGTCTCTCAATCCCATCTAAGTAAAATCAAGTTGGGGGAGGGGGATACATTTACCTTGCATGCGCCTTCTCAGATGTAGCTGAAGCCATTGTCCAAGCCAGAACATTAACTACTGTGTGTTCCTTCCAACCACAGAAAGCAGCAGGACTCCTCTGGGCCACAGCCCAGGCTTATCTACAGCCCCGAGAGTAATGAGGCCTCTGGCTTAAAAAGATCTTCCTCACCTCATTCCTGGTAGAATCTTCAAGGTTCTCTCATTTTACAAAAGAGAAATACTAAGTGAGACCCAAAGGCTCGGCAACATCTATAGATCCCTGCTGACCAAGGACAGACCCAGCCTTCCTGAAGCATCACTAAATGTATGCTGACAACTGTGTACACAAACTTACAGACAGTACACAAAGAAAATAATTGTAAATATTCATAGAATTCCTTTTGTATTGCTTTAAAGTTTAATGGTGACAAACTTGAATGTATATACAGACATACATACATACGTGCGTGTGTTCAGAGGACTCACACAGGAGCCACGTAATCTCCTTCCTGGAGCTGTCTCCTACTTCTGGGCCTTCTGGGAACCTGAAGAATCACTCAGTGTACCTCAGTCAGCTTTCCTGGATGTTGCCTAGCACTCACAGTTTAAGGGAGGAAAGGTTTAATCTACTCAGTTTCAGCCTGTGCTCACCTGGCTCCAAGGAAGAGACATCATGGCTGAAAAGCATGGTGGAGCCAAGCTGCTTAGTTCATGATGGCCAGGAAGCAGAGCAGGGGAAGGGTGCCAGAGATACACAGGCCAGGTCCCCCAGGCTATACCTAAATGACTCACCCACACACCTCGGAATGTCTCACTAATCTGCTGGGTGTTTCTTAATCCAACGAAGATGTCATGCCAGGATTAATGGTCACACAGCATAACTCTAAACAATTCTGCACATCAATTCCAATAAAGCAAAGATTCTTCAACACTCCCCCACCTCACTAACTCTCCTCCTGGATTTCATCAGTCACCTTTCTGTCACTATAACAAATACCTAAGGCAAGGACCAGAGTTCGATCCCTGGTACCAAAAAATAAAAAGAGAAAAAACAAATACCTAAGATGATCAATTTATAAAGAGGAAGAGTTTACTTTGGCTCATGGTTTTGGAGGTTTCAGTCCATGGTCAGTTGATCCCATCGCCTCTGGGCTTGTGGGGAGGCAGAACATCATGGTGATGAGCATATGGCAAAACAAAGCCACTCACCTCATGGCCAGAAAAAGAGAGAGAAGAAAAGGAAGTGGCATGGGTCCAACTAGCCCTCAGTAACCTTAAAATCTCTCACTAGGCCCCACTTTTTAAAAGTTCTACCACCTCACCATGCTGGGGACCAACCTCTGCCACGTGGCCTTTGGGGACACTGAAGACCCAAGTGCTACTGAGGATCATTCCCTAACTGCCAGTCCTGGCTCCACACCTGGCTCACCGCCTCAGCACCCCTTCCCCTGCAGCTTGTCTCCCTCCTACTATCCTTGCAAGGCCTCCCCTCAGTCAGCTCTCAAAGCCTGGGAGAAGAGGCCAGAAGCGGACCAACTCAGTACTGGCGCAACATGGTATTTGGCCCACACCATCTTTTCGGGAATTTGAATTGTTTCTCAACACTTAAAAATTAGACAACTTCACTTAAAAAAAAAAAAATCTAGCTTTCTGGCTTCTCTTGAAAGCTCTGGTGCAGCAGGGGGCTGCTTTCCCACTTCACAATAGCGGGGCTGGAGCACATGCTGTCTAGCCACGACTACTCCCACCCTGACCATGTCCCTCCCTCACTCACATAACCCGACCAGCCCAAGGCTCCTGAGTTGTGATCCCGCAAGCAGACACCCTGGGTCTATGGGAGTGGAGGCACCTGCAGCTTTCTGCTTTTTTTCCTGCATTTCTGAGGGATCCTACCTGCAGAACTACTAGGCTTTGTGATTCAGCTGACACACAAACTAATTTGACTCAAGTATGGACATACAAATCTAAGAACTCGAGAGCTTTCAGACAGTCTGTCTCTCTGCCTCACTGCAGTGTAACTGACAAAAACTGTACATATTCAAGGGCACATCATGATGTTTCAACATATGTTCACATCATTAAGTGACTGCTGCAATCAGGCTAATGAACACATTTTCGTCTCACAGCTCTCTGTTTCGTTTCATGGTGAGAGTACTGAGGATCTCCCCTTAGCAGATCTCAAGGATTAACCATAATTACCATTCTGTCCATTAGATCTCCAGAAATCCTCCAAGTGTCTACCCTTTGACTGTACAGATAGCATCATATTTTTAAACAATTTTTAACTTCATTTTTGTGCTCTGGATCATTCTGTGAAGTGTCAATGCTATGTTACTTCTTTACTTTTTTCTTGGTACTAAGGATTGAACATAGGGCTTTCCTCATGCTAAGCAAATACTGTACCACTGAGCTACATCCCTAGCTCTTGTATCGTATCGTATTGTGTTATTTTAAGATGGGGTCTCACTAAGTTGCTCCGACTGACCTCAAACACGAAATCCTCTCTTAGCCTCCTCAGTAGCTGGGATTGATTATAGGCATGCATCACCGCACCTGGCTCCTCTTCACTTATTTTTTTAATTTTTGTTATAAAAGTTATATTTTGTGGTAGAAAGATACACCTGAAAATATAATTAAGACAAAGAGTAGAAAATAAAAATCAGTTGGAATCCCTTTACACAAAGATTTCCATTAACAATTTTGTTTGCATCCTTTCTATCTTTGTTTCACAAATTTCAATACACAGAAAAGTGGGACTGAATTACCTCAAGTGTTTCATAATCCTTTCTGAAACTTAGTGACACAGCAACAATGACTTCTCACATTATGAATCACTCCTCAGTAGCATAGTCTTTAATAACCACAGGATATTTTATCATTTGTACCTCAGTGTATTCACCCAAATCCCTATTGTGGGCTGTTTAGCTCTTTGCAGTTTGGGTTTATACTGAGCCATGTTTCATAGCACATCCTAGAAGCAGAATCAGTGAATCAGAGAATATTCAAAACCCCAAGGCTCCTGATGCCCACATTGACAGTGGTGTCTATTTCAGCACACAGAGCTTTCATGTACACCAAGTGAGACTGTACCCTAGGGTAGACACTCTCAGAGCCAGGAGCCTGTGGATAATTCTGAGTTGAGCAAAAGCCTGAAACATTCACATGCAGCTACGCATAACAAAGGGTTTAATATGGATACACATGGGTTCCAAATTGGCTCAAAAACAAACTGTAGAAACAGAGACTCAGATGTGACTGAACTGGAGCTTGGCTGTGTCCACCAGTGGACAGGAAGATCGATGGGGTCACTGGGCTGCAGACCAGTCACTCAGGGAATCCCGGTCACATTTAGCAGGAGAAGGAGAAAGACAAGGAAAGCAGCAGGTAGTGCTCAGTTCTGGGCACCCACTCTGAAGAGGGGTAGCAACCTGGAGCACGTTTCAAAGGAAGGGCCGGTGGGACAGCCTCCTGCTGGTGCCCTGTGCACAGTGGCTACAGGCTCTGAGGTGTCCTGTCCAAGGCGAGAAGGCTGAGGATATGCGTTAGGATAGCTACCAGTCTCTTGACGGGCTGCCACTGACATTCAGTATGTGATTCCCCAAAGCAGACCTTGCACAATAAATGGAAGCTGCGGATTGACGGATATCTGCTGTGTCCCAGCAAGAGATGTCTAACAGTACTACTCATGCATGAAGCAGAAGTTTCTGTAAGGAGCACAGGAAATGGTTAACAGTGGTCACCTCCCAGGAGTAAAACCAAGATGCACCATGGGGAAAAGGGCAGGCTGAGCAAGGACAGGGGTCTCACGGCAGCTTAGGGTCCTCAAGGGCAGTCCCTCCTTACAGAGGTGACTTGACTCTGTCAATTTTCTGTCTTGTGTCATCTGGCTCTGGACTTACACTTCCATGAGAGACAGACTGATTGGCCTAACTTGGCGTCATGCATCCCCTCCCTCCCTGACCCCCTATTAGAATGACCTGAAATGGAGGCAAGCAAGTCCCTGAAGGAAACTTGGGATGCTGTTACCCACAGGGGACAGGAACACTGGGCGGGCAAAACCGAGACATCTGCTACAGAAACGTGATAAACTATGTCAGGAGCTAGTGAGGTTCTCATCCCTCCAGGTATTCCAGACACATTGGATGAGCATGAGGTGATAAGGCGGTAATGAGTTCATATCTGAACTCATATGGGGTTTGGATTATACTATGTCAAGATCTGTTATGATTTAGACTGAGCTGTCCCCCAAGAGTCTCATGCACTTACAACCAAGGCTTTTGGAAGATCCTTGAATTGTGTGGGCAATATAGCTGCCTTGCTGTTAGGAGGAGAGGTATGATTGGAAGAGGTGAGCCACTGGGGATATGACCTGGAAGAATGTATCTTTCACCTCATCCCTTCCCTTCATTCTCTGCTTTTTGACCACCTTGTTGTAAGCAATTTTCCTCTGCCTGGGCCTTTCCACCATGCCGTTTCTCTATTTAAGCCTGCTAAATATGGACTGAAACTGTGAACTGTGAGCCAAAATAAACAATAACTCCTTTAAGTTGTGGGTGTCAGGTATTTGCCCCAGTGATGAGGAAATTAAGATTTGGTACCAACAGTGGGCTGTTGCTGTGACTGTTAACCTGACTATGTGTTTTAGAAACCTTTAGAAATTGTTCATGGGAGGAACTTGTAAAGGCTTGGAGATGCCTGCTAGAGAAGCCCTAGAATGCTGTAAGCCAAACTTGATGTGAGATTCTGGTCAGAGCTCAGTAGACCAGAATGCTGATAAAAATGCAGACAGTAAAGAGCAGCTTCAGGAAGTCTCACTTGGGAACAAAGACTCCATTGGTAGTTGAACTCTAGACCATGTATGTTATGGCTCTGACAGAAAATGTGTCTATATTTTACTGAGACTTTGCAGGAGACTGATATTATGGGCACTAGATCAATTAATCTGGTAG